TCTTATTCTACCAATTGATTAGGATTTTGTTATTGTAATTTGTTCAATAACTATGAAAAACACAATTAAAGTTATAATTATAATGTATTTATTTGTATGTGCCAAAGTAGTTAATATTATCGCAGTATTTTTATCATAATGTACAACTCAATGCTTTTAAGTGTTCATTATAAACTTTTTTGTCGATAAGATCTTTATCGATTATCCTAACATCACTAAGCTGTCTCTGATTGTAGCTTACGAGATGCAACATCGATAGATATGCGTGGAAGATCTGCCGAACGAAAAGGACGGAGCACCGGTATTGTGAGGCAAGTGGCTTGCATAAAGATAATACGCATTTATCCGGACCGTTTGCTCTTAAAAGCCTATGAGGTTGCCGTGACGCATACGATTCGGGTCTTAAAGTCGTTGGAGTAAGAGGGTTTTTGTGATGATGCGCAGGAGTTTAGAGATGTTTGGCTACTGCGCGCGAGGTCCGTATATCTTGTGTGTGCGAGCATTATTTACGATAATTGAGCGATGCGCCGCGATGGGGGGCCGCGGCGCTGCGCTCGGACGCCACCGACATTCGCAGCGACAAGTTCGACTGTTCCGTCGCGAATCACATCAAATAAAGCGGCGTGCATTTTAAGTAATGGCCCTAGATAGTATTTCAACGTACGTGGACATTCGTCGGGTAATATTTTATTCCACGTCACAAGGGCAGCGGAATCGCAGGATCCGAGAACAATTGAGTTTGCGAGTTTGCATTCAAAGTATCCACCAATTGATTCTGCGGTTGAAAGGTGGACTGGCAGCCCCTTTGTTTTATAAACAGCCATCTCGGCTTGAATGTGACGAGGGACATGTTTATAGTCAGTCGAATATGGACTCACCTTGATCGTATATTTGAGAATGTAAGCGATGTGTTCCTCGGACATTCTTCTGTCGGTCGCGTGTAGCTTTCTGACAATGTCGATGACAGATCCGAACTCGCACAACTGAAAACACAATGTAGTTAAATTGATGCGGCGGAATCTAAATGAGCTCACTTTTGTACAAACGATAAAAAATTAACAAATAAATGGAAAACTTGTTCACATCGGCCTTCTCACGTTTCGGTATTCAAATAATTCCAGTTATACCTATCTATAACTTTAAAAGTACATAAAATAAAGTTAAATCTTTAGAAAACTAGAACTGTACAATGCTTACCTCCAAAACGAACCATATCTTCTTCACCCCCTCCGACTTTTCGCAGAACACACCATAAAAATCAATCAAATTGGGATGTTTCGTGAAGTCCCTTAGAATCTTATATTCTTTCTGGATGTGGATTTCGGTGTCATCCGTGTACGTCTGGACTTTGACTGCCACTGCTTTTCCAGCTGCTTGGGTGTCGGAGGCCCTGAAGACCTCTCCGAATATGCCCGAACCAAGCTTGGTGTCCAGGGTATACCGGTCCAGAGGGCTGGGCAGCGTTGCTATGTTCAGGCCGTCCTTCATCTTGCCTGGTTGAGTAGGCAGTTGTGAAAGTAAATCTGTGGAAAATTTTGTTACTCAAAGATAACTTACGGTACATTTGTCCATTGTGAGTGTTTGTGAACACGTTCAGCGAATTCACTAAGAGATTTCCGATTTGGACAAAGTTCATTTATTAAGTAAAATTCTATCATCTATTTTGTCGTCGTCTTTAATCTTTTTATTATAACGTTGATTATAATATTTCAGTTTAATTGCTAGATCCCTATTTTTGTATTTTCTTATGGTTTTGTTTTCAGAATGTTTATTTTGTTCACACGTCTACAAATTGCTGGCAATATTAGTTAAGTTAGAATATAAAACTTACCTTTCCCGAGCTCCTCCGACGAGACCGCACTGGTCCCGCGCCGCGAGGGCGAGTGGCGGCTCTCGCTGCGATCCCGCACAAGTGCACGGGCTTCGGGAATTAGGAGCACATCACTAATCCTCTAATACTATTAGGTAATGCGTACGACCTTGCGCCCGCCTTGGAAACAACTTAATTGGGGTCACGTGCGGAGTAATTAGTGCCAATGCGGTTGATTGGCTTAGCTCTAAATTGGTGATAGGGGTTTATTCAGATTGTTTACGTCATATATAAGATGCGATTTGTTTTATACGAGTAGCACATGCGGGGATTCGGCTTTATCACCACTTGAAGGTGTTTGAGCAGTAGTTTTCGTCCGTAAGCCTTTTTATCTATTTTCATTTTTATTAAAAACTAAAAAGTTTTTGGTGCGACATAAGAACAGAAGTTTCCTGATTTGGAAAATCCAACCGCTACTGTCGGTTAGCTCTATCTGAAATTATGCAATTTGGAAAGATGAGGTAAATGTTAGATGTCAAATGGATTAAAATTTTGTCAGCCCAATCTGATATCTTACCTACCTCAGTGACTAGCATTCATTGTCACCAACTGCGATCGGTTTCCAAATATTGACAGCTCAATCGATTTGCTGATCGATTTCTGCAGTTATTAAGTTGTCAGAACACTGTCATATAAAACGTCAAATGCTTGCGATGCGTGACGAAACATACTTAACTCCAAACACTTGAAATCGATTCGTTTCGGCATCACCTTTTCCTGTTTGCTCGCAAAAACAGTACAAGAATAGAAGATCCCCATTGCAGGTCTTCAATCAACCGTGCGTAATAACTGAAGGCACTGTTCTGATATTAGGGTTCCTTGTTAATATCTTGTGATGGGATTTTGTTATGAATCGACTCTACCATGTGGTTTTGGTACTTAAATACTCTGCTTGATTTATTTCAATTACTCATGTACCTAGTTAAGTCCACTGTTTTAATTTTTCCTTTTGTCTCGAAAAAAAAAAAATGTAAGTGTAAAATTTCATGTATGTATTTTGAACTTTATCATAGCAAAAGCCATGGAAGTAAAAAAGAGGCGAAATTACAAATAATATAAATGCAAATTCAAAATGTTTAACTTAACAGTCAGTATTTAACACAAGTATTTTGTCTGCCTGTCCTGTTTTAAGCATATTTCTTTCACAGAATGTTCAGTTCTGTAAAGCAACTGTTTCAAAACACCCTTAGGCACTAGACAAGAAAAGGCCTGAAGTTTAATTGCTCTGGATCACTCATTATTATATTGTTAGAGTAGTTATTATTTAATTAATATTATAAGGTATGTATTGCGGTACGAAAACGGTTGATGTTGTACGGATCTCTCGGTACGTTTCATGCTCGCTCATGACCGTTTTTTCTGCAACAATGTTGTGCTCGCAACAATAGCGCACTCTATTAAGTCATCACTTCGCGCTGTAATCCTCTCAAAGAATGTCAAGTTTTAGAAAATAATTCCCATCCTTTTCTTGTATTGCCTACTCATGAAAGAGAGAACATGCATTCGTTGTTCATTCATACAGTGATGTATTAAAACTTTAGGTAGGTATTATTAACGAGTACTTACTATTTACTTGCTCCTATTGTTTTAATGCTGCAAGTTAATATTGTTAATACTTACGAGGACTAAACAATAATAATTATTATTGATTAATTAATCACTTTCATTAGTTAAACATTTATGTTGATCAGCGGCTCTACCATTTTCAATTTCAGTTTGTTTAGAGTAACTAAGCTTTGAATAGTAAGCGACTATTCTCATAATATTGATCTGAGAATACATCAAAGTCTCAATAAGAGCCATTCAAAAAGTATCATAATCTCTTAACTCCAAAAAAATCCATTCACATCAATGTTTAGGCAGTTTGTTTACAAAAACGCGTTGGATGCAGAGGGCTCTCGAGTCGAGTGGGCAAATTAACCGGAAATAACCGGATAATTGCCAAGAACTCATTCAGATGTCGCTTCTGCTACTTGGGTGATCTTTGATGTTGCTTTTTGCCGAATCTTTTTATCGCGATACTTGAATGAAATTATTTACACAAAGAAGCTTCTGTCTATGATATTTTACAGAAATAGGGCTGTCGCTTTACAAAACATATGTTCCTTGTTTGTAATAAGTATTTGAATGCATTGGTAAGTGAAAAACTATCGTATTTTATTATTAATTTATTACTTTCTTACAAAATGTACTGACATTTAAAGGACCTTAAAATTAGAATAAATAGTAAAGTCAATAAATATCACGGCACTGGGAATGTAGAGTAAATTGGAATGTTAATATATTTACAAAATTCATGGAAGTTACTTACTTAAGTATTTTTGCTTAACATTAATACTGATCGTCAATATCGAACTAACCTACATTACTTTTATACAATTTGTCTAAGCAAATGGCAATAGGAGTATTAGATAATAATAGATTTGGTTAAACATTCATCGAACGCCTTTTTTGGGGAGCCCTTCAAAGAAACCTATATTCGATTCTCGTATTGCCTTCAAAATTTCATCATCACCATCACCACCTTCAAAATAGGGATTAGGGAATATGCAGTTTATATGATTTCTTCAAATTACTTAAGTCTTGGCATTATCAAACCATCCAGCGCCTTTCTTTTTCAAAAATCTCTAGTGATATTTAAGACGTTTCGATCCACGATGTTTAGTAATCTCATGACTTTATTTTTCACGTTGAAACAACACAAATCGTCCCATACTAGTTAGTATGTTTATGTGATATGACATCACGCTTAGCTAATTTCGCACATGGCGTTTAGACGCTAAAATAGTTTTTATTTCTACCTCATTCAGTATTTCTTTTATAAAGATCAAAACTGCATATTCCTAATTTGAACGAGAATAACATTTTCTCATCCAATGCATCAATCAGCCTATTTACAGACCGCGATCCACTTCTCGTCTTTACACCTCTGGCAGTCGACCCTGCAGCACCAGTGGAAGGTGCAGTTGCTGGGCTTGATGCTGGACTTCCTCAGGAGTGCGTGTCCTCGCCCACAGCAGAGGAGGTCGCAAGAACCGGCGCGAGAGGTCTTGCCCCATATGGCATAGTATGGAAGCGTGTTATGTGACGTCATTAATTCCAGATAAAAAAACCCTTGATCTTTCTTATTTCTAGTTAGATTTCAGTTCTTCTTTGAGAGGTCGAACTTTTAGAAACTGTGTAAACCTTTTAGATAACATTTTCTCATCCAATGCATCAATCAGCCTATTTACAGACCGCGATCCACTTCTCGTCTTTACACCTCTGGCAGTCGACCCTGCAGCACCAGTGGAAGGTACAGTTGCAGGGCTTGATGCTGGACTTCCTCAGGAGTGCGTGTCCTCGCCCACAGCAGAGGAGGTCGCAGGAACCAGCACGAGAGGTCCTGCCCATACGGCAGACCCGACCTGATGTGCCCGCTGAATCGGTCTTTGGATCCGCGTCGCAGAAACTTGGGGATCTGAAAGGTAAGATGGGAATTCAGGTGTGTATTTATTAGGTTTTATTGATTGACGCACTACACCTGTTCTTTTTCATCTATATCACTGTCGACAATGGACAAGGTCAAAAAGAGCTAGGTTACTGAGTTAAGGTTTGTGGAGATATATTTCGATGTAGAGTCATTTAAAACAAAATTTATTTTTGCTGAGACTTGTGACGAAACTTCTGCTGAAACTTCTTTGTTTAGTTGTCAAGTTGTCATGTTTTACAAATTAACGGCAATTCAAAAGTGATATAAATATAATACTTACTTTTCAAAGAACAGTAAGCTAGTCTTCGGCGCTGGCTTTGCTCGGCTCTTCCTCCTCCCTCGAGGCCGGCCTCTTAGTACTGACAGTCCGTTGTTGAGTTCCTCTTGGGCCACCATGAGAGCCTTTAACATAAAAAAGGTTAGTAAATAATAATACTCTACTATTTTATACAATTCTTTTTACCTATTGGAGCAATGCAAATAGGCACTTTTTCACTTCCGTATTACTCTAACTCTACCATTGCTTTGGGACAGTAAATGGGCCAGTAGTGCCAGTACTAAGAAGAAGCAGCTCGAGAAATTCAGGCACCATTGTCAGCCTCTATCAAGGGTTTACAATAGTATCTATAAAAAATATAGGCTGGGTTGCACCATCTTACTTTAACTTGACGAACGTCAAAAATCTGTTAAACTCCAAACAAAATACACCGGATAGTGTTATAGTTACTGTCAAATTAGGTGGTGCAACTCAGCCTTAGCTTAGCTGGAGGGGTTAGCGGGAATATTAGTCTTCTTCTTTGTCCTAGCCATTTTCCATTATTAAGGGGTCTCTTCGTTCGGGAATATAAGTATGTGATTTATGCAATAAAATGACGAACTCTTTTTAAAAAACCTACCTTTCTATACTGCCTCTTTATGGTAGACGCGACGACCCTGAAGTCAGGAGTGGCTCTCCAGCAGGTCCGGAGTTGGCAGCTGCCCGACAGACCGTGACACTTGCAGCGTACTTCCATCTGGGATGACAGGATCTGCGAGAGAATATGAATGGGATGAGGACATCAAGTAGTTTCAAGGTAAGTAGCATGAAGGTTTGAATGGTGTGCAAAAGTGACATTTTGAAGGGTATCATTGGCCTTATCCAGTGTGCTGTGTATCTTAACGTATCATTTTCTTAAAGTATATTTTAAAATTATAACGTTCATATCGGTCATAATGTTCTTGAACTACATTTAAGAGCCACTACGGCATTACGATTTTACGCACATCGGCGATCGTAAAAATAATTCAGACCAAATGGCGCAGTCGTGTTCTATCATCACAACAATACACCCAGAAGAACTGTGGCTTCAGCGTCATAATCGCACACTCAGACGAGCATTACCATAAAAGTAATCGACGTAATCTGTTACACTCTCAACCGAGGAGTCCGCGGCCGACATATTTCAAAGCCTTACAAAATAATAAATCAGAATTGTCCTGATACGTGACCGCATTGGGCATAATAACGCCACCCACCGGCTAGCTCGTAACATTTACATAATGAAACGCCTTGCTGCAATCACGCTGACGTCTTAATTTCGCGAATGCCGCCGGCTGAACAATTTCCCAAATTGAGTCGGGGCAAAAATTCAAATAAATCGGCGGTTCGGCCCGCCCCTGCGCCCGGACAGCCTTAATAACCCGGTATTAAGAGCGTTCGCGATAGAATTCGCCACCCAAGACGTTGGTAATACGTGTAATGAAGCCGGAATATTAAAAATGGACCCGAACCGCTTATTATGTTCTCACCTCGACCGTCGGTTCGTGAAATACGGCCGACTAATATGGGGCCTCGAGCAGGCTCGCAACGTGGAAAACTTTTAATGTGGCGCCACCTACTATGCCTCTTGGGACTATCTCGTGAATGCAAGCCTCGTTGGCTTGGGAAAGGTTTGAGTAGGTGAGAGATGCGACACGTCTTGATGGCGGTGGCTAATTGCAGGTTTCAAGGTAGCAAGTTAATTTAAGTGTCTGAATCATGTGGCTTGTAAATGCTGCAATAAGTCAGCTTGATGGAGGAAAGATTGGGTAAATGTAATACTTTTATACTCGTTGAGATTACGAGATCACATTTAAATAATGAGACTGTAGCTGATCTCTGCTAACTCGCATTTTTATTGCACAAAAGTTGTCTGAATGATGAAAGATCCTTAATTTCTTGTGCGTTAGAAAGAAGTCGCACGCGAAGTTTTGGTTTATAGTTCCTTACTTCAAACCATAACGGTTGGTGTATTGTCTGTTACGTATTTATTTATTGTTTTGATTCTCTACCCATGAGAAAGACGGGGCCCTTCAAAACATACAAGTACGTGGTCAAGTGCGGTGTTTGCGTTGATCTGTCAATAATTCGTCATTGGCCATGCCAGTGTTTGTTTACTAGGAGTGGAGTGATTAGACTTGTTAGTTTTATGGGTAGACTAAACATGATGTGGTGGCGGTGACAGATATAGTTGACACCATAAAGGCTGGCATTTTTGTTGCAAAATCGCACCAGGTAAATAGTATGGTGGTAGGATAAATTCTTCATTTGCTTCTGGTAAATTAGAAAGGGTCATTCAACAGTGGAGACTGAATGAACTGATGATGAAATCGGATGATCTAGTGTAGGATGATACTTACAGTGAACCTGTATATGTAGGTGTGGAGTGTAAACGAGACTAAAAGTTTGCAAATCCATAATTAACGGAAAGCCTTAGAAATCTCCAATCAAATTGTTTAATCCTTCCCAGGTGCGTTTCGTAAGTTTACTGCTAAAACTATAGATCCAACATGGATCAATTAACGTTCGGTGAGCAACACTAATGGGCCCGCGACGAGCGTGGCTAATCCAGCCCACAATTAGCTATTAGGCGAACCGCACACGGCGCGCGCGCATCTGGCCGGTAGGGTGGCCATGATTTATGTGAATCACGGATTGTACGGAAATGGGACAGAAGATTTTGGTATAAGGAATTCTTCCCAATACATTTCTATCCAAGGTATACTTATGAAAATGACAAACTGTGTAGCCCTGTAAGTTTTTCGAATAAATTTTTGTTTGACCCGACTGCGCCAGAAAGAGAGTTTATACTATTTCAAGAATTAAAAAAACTTAGTAGCTGGTTGGAACATAATTTCGGCTATATTTATCAATATTAATAATCGATTATAGATGACCCACGCTGAACTGTCCCACCAAACTCAATGACAGGGGGGCGCTACCATCGTTCAACTATATGGTTTCCGACATGGCAAAAATCGGAACCAGCGATCCGGTATTGACGGTGGCGCCCCACTGTCAATGTCAGGGGTAGGACAGTTCAGTATTTTGGAACTATAGCACAATCTAACTAGTGTCAAACAAAAAGTCATGTGTCATAACTGTCACTGACTTACTGCAATAGATAGATTTTATAAAAGCGCTTTCAATGGGATATTAGAAAAACTGAAACCGAGTTCCATCTTACAACGCTATTCGATTTTATCCAGCTTTTTGGCCACCACAGTCCACAGTGCGAAGGAATTCCGATAGTTGCGTAAACTCGTTCTGTGGCTTATATTCTTCAATGCACTTGATTGTTTACGATCAATTTTAGATTTAATTGAATAGTTTGATGCCTCCATATTGCTTCATTTAACTTGTAGAAGATTAACAGAGTTAGTACACTTTACGAAGCATAGGATTTAGCAACTACGTAAGTTTATTTCCTCAATAAATTGCTTTATTCAGTTTCTCTGTAAAAAATAAACAAGATAACAATATTTTGAAATTAAATTAGCTCGAAGTTAAGTTGTAATTTGTAAGCTCACATAAATAAAAAAGCTTACGACTTCATCGCTCTCAAAAGCTTTAATGCCGCAATAAATAAAATCCCCGTCCACATTTAATAAAATAACTATAATTACTGATTAATACCCATTCTTAATATGCTCTTGCGCATTCATCGAGACACAAAGATCAGAATTCATCGATTAATGTTCTCGGCCTGACGTAATCGGGAGGAAAAAATAATAGCAACAAAAGTATATTTATATCGATATCGGAGAGTCATCGGGACATAACAAAATATTAACTCATCGAGTCGGTTTTTTGTAACGTAATTATCACCTCGGCTCTCTAATGTGGTACCTAATTTCTTGTGTAGGTCGGCCCGCGAGTCTTTTATAGCCCGCTGCGGGACGAACTCACACCGTTGTAAACTTTTTACAGTCGAAGCGAACGTTCGGAACGTTAAGACGAATAAAAGACGTTTTAGGGTGATGAATTAATATGCGATTAAGAAGTGGAAGCTATTATTCAACACGAAAGATGCGCGTCATTATTTAGAAAGGAATGTGTAAGTAAGTATTAGATGTGTTGAATTCTCTTATTATCTGGATTCAACCGCTCTGAAATTAAGTTATGTAAAAGATACAGTATCATTGTATTATTTGTTTTCCCTTGAAAAACATCATTTTATAGAAAAGCTTACATAGCAATGAGCTTGAATTATGCGTTTTCGACTTATTGTATTTTCTGTATGTAATCGCTTTCTTGTTTTGTGTAAAATAGAGGCGTTTCTAGCTTAGATAAATTTTCTAAATTAACCATAAAAATTATTTACATGTGTCAGTAGAGTCACCCAGTTAACGATATACAGGATGACTGCCATTTACCTAATGATTTATCTAACGTGGGATACTATGTATATTCACTAGGAATGTTTATTACCTTAATGACAACTCAGAGATTCAACCTCCGTTCGAATTTACGGCTCGCCACCAATTTTTTGCGGCCGCGCGCCACGGTGTGAACGAGGCCGACTTTATTTTGACATTATAAAAATATCATCGCGGGGGTTATTATAACCGAGCGTGTCTAACAGAGATCTCACTGGGCGGCTGTTAATTATGTGGCCACAAACAAAATGGGAGATCGCCGGAACAATGGACAAGCGTAGGGTCCAGACCACCGGGCTGGCGGGAATAGTTCAATTTGCTGAGCCGCGTGAGGTCATGGTAGTATTAAATATTTGATGTAAATATTCGGTCCATTTTTATACTTTTGTTCTCGCCTGAGGTGCAGTTAATGGACTGGGCTGTGAGGTGCATCTTAAAGGTAGAGTCGGATGAAAGGAATACCACTCGATTTGGTTGCACAACGCTTACGTTGGTGTATTAAAAATGATTTATCGGATTAAACTGGCATCTACGATGTAGTAAGTAATGTCTTCATTATGATGCATTTTGAAATGTTTTTAATAAGTGTTTGCCTCTTCATTTTATTCGAAAAAATAGAAATATAGTGGTTTTCCAATGCTAGTACTGAATTTCCTTAACTATGGGGCGGTTTAGGCAAATGAGTACCTAATCAGGTCCCAAGGCCTTCAAAAGCACGAAGTTGACGTTTCGTGTCATTATATCGATTTAAGGGGAGTAAATTTTAGTCGTCATAATTTGGTTTAAAAAAAATCTATTGGTGTCACGATAAAAAGAATCGTTCACGCACGATAGGACATCTTGGTGACTATTTTCATTATCTACTAGTTTCTACTCGTTCCTATCACTCACTCTTAATTGGCCAGGATCTACACCGTGACTCCCACCCAGTAAACCATATTGAAGACTAAATTAAGTCCAAAAATATCCTTTGGGACACTAACAAAAACATAATTCAATTATAGTTTCGCCATAAAAATCTAGATGACAACTCAATGGAAATAAATTATACTAAACAGATATCTAGTCATAAAAGGCAACATTGTAAAAAATAATATTTAAGCTTTACTAAACATTTTATAGACCACAGGCTGGGTCGTAAACTGTCATATCCTAACTATTTGTAGTTAATAAATTATGTCAAAATTGAAATGGTGTTTCGCATTATGCTACCGAAGCAAAGTCAATTAACATAAAATTAAAGGTTGTTAATTTGTTAAAATTAATAACTAAGTAGGTGAACTGTTAACTTTATAAATATACCATGTTATTAGATTATTAACGCTTCCGTCTACTAAAGTAATTAAAACTTGACCTTTTTAACAGCTAATTAGTATAAATTAATAGATTCGTTGTTTAAATACAACAATGCATATACAGGGGGAATCTTTCATGTGTATTTTGAAAATTTCAATGAAAAACGAAATGCCGTGAAAAGTTTGAAATCAGAAATGGAAATACAGGAAAACAGTATTTAATTTCCGTGATTTACATAAGATTCACAACTGTTTATCAGAATTACAATATTCAGAAAAATTTACAAGTGAAATAATATTATTGAATCATTGTCTCATTCTACTTCTACTGTGGTGACTGAAAACTTGCGGAAAATCATCTACTTGTTCAAAACAGAACTGAAAAAGCTTCATTGTATAGAATAGTTAAGCTTTTTCAGTGTCACTTGTTTAGAGGAAAAATTATTAGCTAGGTGCATAATTCTACCAGTAGAGATCATACCGAAATAAAGAAATTAATGTTAATGTAAATCACCAAATGAAAATTCAGAGGATATTGGACTGAATCTACAGGTTGTTAGGTAAATGGGTATATGAGCCGACATTTACCTAACACCCTGTATACTAATATTTTATGCGAAAGTAACTCTGTCTGTCTGTCTCACTTTCACGTTTAACCACTGAACCGATTTTGATGAAATTTGGTATAGAGATAGTTTGAGTCCCGGGAAAGGACATAGGATAGTTTTAATCCCGGTTTTTGAAACAGGGTTGCGCGCGATAAAGTTTTTCTGTGACAGACAAAATTACACGCGGGCGAAGCCGCGGGCGGAAAGCTAGTTCTTCAATATTTGATTGTTTCACAGTACTCGTTTTGTGCAACTTGTAGGTCACTCTAGAAAAGTCCGATTCCGTCATTTTTTTTTATCGCAATTTGCAATCCTATGCATATAAAATACTATGGGTACTATTAAATTAATATGTCAACTATATTTTAAGAGCCACCCATAAACGAGCTGAGATTTGGTTTTGGTCATGCATTCCAATAAAGTCACAAGTCAAATGTCGTTAAGTTAGAAAATAGTCTTATTAGTTCGCTATAAACGTCGCGAGACTGGTGGGCCAAATAAATTAAGCCGACTACCGCCGTATAACGAATTACAAATTAAATAATTTGTACCTACACGTCGTGTTTGTATTATAAAAAAACGTAAATTGTATTAAATCGTAAATCCGGATAATAAGTAACTGAGAGACGTGGAATGCCGCCTTAACGTCAGATTTGGTTACGAACACCAATTTAATATTGTCGACAAAACTGTTTTGCTGTCAACACACACAAATGTTCGACTTAACACGATGTGTTAGAGATTAGTTTCGCGTGATGTTCGTTTAGATAGTAGTGGCTCTACTTTGGGCATGTAGTATTTAACGCTTGCCTGACATGTTTATTATTGGGTAGAAGGGGCCTATTAAATTATTTAGGAGTAATCCCTTCGCCCGGCGTGTCTAATGGTCGTCGTGTCTACTAGTGTTAGATCAAGCGACATATCACTGCTCCGGACATGTTTACACGACGCGTAAGCTCTCGTTTAAATTCACATTAGCGATACTCACAGCAGTCTCATAAATACAATTTAATTGTCCCTTTGCTGTAGTCCTTTGGGTAGATATTAAAATAAAGTACGTAATCATATTGATCTTGACTAAAAATATCGTGAAAATTAACGAATTCCTTCATATTGGTATGTTAATTTCGCCTCATCACCTCCAATAAAATTGTGTTCTTGAATTTTATGTATTATCCGAAGCTGACGCGGTGCCATGCGATATCTACTTTATAGCACATAAAACGGGGTGTGATCGTCCTAACCGCGTGCCTGGGCCATATAACGTAGTATTTATAGGCACATGTCGGCATAACCGCGACCACCCACATGGTTACGGGTAACCACGCCCACCTCTCCCGCTCTCCAAATTGAACGAAATAAGCTGGACTCGTACCACTTTTGACGCCTCGCCAGACCAATTTAGACATCTATGTAATTTGCCCTCGAACCGACTATTCTATGGCGATCCCAATAATAGGTGTCGTTACCTCAATTGTGTGACTGTTAAAGTAATTCCAGGGACCAACGCAAATTGGACGCAGAATATTGTGGTTGTTAAGTTAAAATTGTAAAATAAGTTACGTGTCACATTGTTTTGGTTAAGAAATTAGGGTCATTAGGTTTGGTTTTGTTTTTATGATTTGAGCCTCTTTTGAGGTTTCAGTCATTTACAGATTTGCTTTTAAACATTTCTAAGACTCTATTTATGACATAATTTCTACAATGCCCTTCAAAACGATTTAAAACAGCCCTTCGAATTCAAAATTAAAATCACATTCCACCATTTCATTGAATAATCTGTCTGGCATGTTATGATTGCATCCCCCGTACATTCCTAAACGAATTAAAATGCACCCTTCTGTTGATCAAACATGGGTTATGCATTCACTAACGAGGTAAATTGAAGGGCCATCAGTGTAGTGATCTTTTGAGTGTGCAGTGCCCTTGAATTCATCATCAAAGATGTGACGCCATTCAAATTATGCAATTGGTATGACAAAAGCTTTGTTTGGGTCCGTACCTACATGTCACGTGCGTTTAAAGGTTTAAACTTACCTTCTAGTATGTTTGATGGATTTTCCAAGAGTCAAAAGTTAATGCACACTTATGTATGGTTTATGGTTTAAGACATTTATTTCTCTAAAAGAATTACATTCACTTACAAGCGAAATACAAAATTAACCTCAAAACTATAGATTATATAAAGTATCTAATATCTAGAGTAACATTGACTTTTTACCAATGTACTAGCAAAATTCGTAGCACTACAGTGGCAGCCTGTATTTTTACTATTGAATTCATCATTGAAACACACTGCTTGTTAGATAGGCGTTGTCTAATTACATTTTACGATGAATACTCATCCCTGAGACAAACATTTTTGTAAGTTCAAGAGTTACAAAATTAGAGTCACTAAAGCTTACCTTCCGCTCCTCATCAGTTTTTTAGCAAGATATAATTGGGATGTGTATGTATACCTTATCCCTGAAAAGGGCCTAGAAAACTAATAAAGATTTGAGTTTGAGGCATGGAGCTCTGCCTTTTCTACCCAACTTAGAAGATTATCTGCACATAGCAAACACAACACAAAAGACAAACAAAAGAACTTACCGATCTCCCAGCGTTGTTGTTATGTACATTGATCTTCGACTGCAGATCATCCACCTGCTCTCTCACATCCAGGAACTTTCTGGAGAACTCGATGCCATAGGCCAGGTTGTGGGAACAGCCACTCCATTCCCACTTGTTGGGGCGCGCCCTCCCTCTAGGGTCGTGAGAGGCTCGGTAGCCTAGAGGGTCGCAGCCGCAAGAGAGGAGCCGGCCCTGTGCGCACGCGCGGGCTATAGCATGGGCTACGCCGGCGGCTGTGAGTGCGTAGAGGAACGCTGACTCTCGGAAACCTGGGGACAAACATCATCATTAGCAGGATGTCGTGAGGACTAATATGGCAGACATCGTGAGGCAAGCAACATCTGCACTTAACATCACAGTTGATGACGACTACGACCACTCAGTCATAAGTGTGACGATTGAGATGTGGGATTCCCGCTGGCCTAGAAGAGGCACCTCCCATACAGGAGATGTTTGGGAGAGGTCAGTAATAAGAATCTTCCGGGCAAGCTCGTTCTTTTGGCTGAGATTTCATAACATACAAAAATTTCTTTGATCCAAGCACATTCATCGAAGGTTTTCCATATTTATTATGACTCTATGCAAGTATCATTTGCAATCGTTTGAACACGTTACATAATGCTACTTTCAGGCTCTATTTTTATAGGGGATCTCGGACTGAAACGTATTTTAGATATTTACAAAATATTGTGTTTTAAACATTCTGTCTGACTAATAATAATACTTTAACTCCGTCCGTTAAGTAAAAGTAATTTGCTCCTGCAACTTGACCTTAAAAACGCTCTTTTACATGCCAATATATGGTATTTAAATCTCTTACATTTTCGTACTAATTGGCGTAAGTACAAAATTGCATTCATTACCACCGGCAAGGAAATGGAAACGGGTGCACTAACTAGAGCCAATTCCTAGAGCCTCGTTCAAGGGATGCAGATAATTACCAACATTATGTACGGTTATGTAAACGAACTAGTTTCTTGGAAACATGACATATGTTAGGAATATTATGTAGAATGGAATCTTAAATAGCTAAGAGAATCTCAAACAGATGGAAGCTACTGGCAAACAGCTAGCAGGAGGAATGTACCTACGTAGAGCTTTCATACTTATTGATTACCGGTAAGTGTGTAAAGATAAAATTATTAATCAAAGATTTGAATGGATTGTTGAAGTAGATACAAATTATGAAAATAGGAACAAAACTTCAAAACTATACCTATTTACAGTTGTATTCAGTCAACAAACACAAAATAGTGTAAGTACTTATCGTTCAGTTTAAACTTAATCGTACCTTATAACATAAAATAAAGTCGAGTAGATGTGCTAATAGATATTTCAAAATATTGATTTACTCGCTTCCACTACTGGCTGTACGCGTTTGCTCCATAGGAAATACTAAATGAAATATTACCATCACGCGCGGTGTTAGAGGAATACCGAAGATTAAATCATTAAAGCTCAAACACACCATATTTGCAACTGGATATAAACAGAGCCCCATCCATAACTTTCTTTTTAGTTTATTCGACCAATGTTTGAATGCGCGTTGGCAGGACTTGGCATACGTTGATTGAAATCACTACCAACTCTTTAGCTCATCCAATGCTGTTTTAATTCCAGAAGCTTATAAAGTCTTCGTACAAAACCAGCAATGGTATGCAGACATTCAGATCGAATCGCAGGGACACTCCTGTCATACGTAAATTGGTACCGGCATAACTCCGTCTCGACTTATAGAAATCCGGAACGTCGTACAGTACATTTATCTATTTTATTGCAATAAATTAAGTACTGAATACATTCACGATGGGAAGATAAGCTATTGGCCCCGGACAATGTAATCTTTTTACCTTATAAGGCTTGATTGCGATTTGCATTTGAGTTAGGTCGGGCAGTCTTTAATTGTGTTCGGTTGTAGCTCTGAAAGGGTTAGTAATGTGCTATTCTGGCTATTTCATTGTGTTAACGTGAATAGGCATTTAGCTGGCGTATAAAGCTCAGTGCTCACTCCGGTGTTAAGGATAAATCTTTAAATGAAGCTTAAAGCGTTTATATTTTTCAGCAGTGAGCTTTCTCAAAGAAGTTCTTAGTTTGCATCTTTGGCCAAAAGCTCATTATTTACCTATGCATGTACCTAAAGAAGATTAAGTATGATTAATTAATCAAAGTTGGATGTGTCAAATAAATGCAATGCCATTCCGTGGTCTAGTAAATAAAAGTAAAACTTTTCACATAGGGCTTACCGAATTCAGTAGTGAAAAAAATCATTTGAGTCAATCACCATTAACCATACCAAAACTGGTTGTTTGTAAATTTTACTTTTTGGTTGTGCAATAACTAGTGAAATAAAAGTTACCAGTTGTGAAATAGGTCTTATATCTTCACTGACTTGTGCGATAATGTTACCAAATGTGAAATGGATATATTCCTGCAGTGAGAACTAAGCCTTACTATACCCTTTTAATGGTCAATTAATGTCTGAAGGTCTAGCCACCTGCTACGCGATTTGGCGTCTGATTTTTATGCTTTTATCTTTTATCAAGGCTTTTATTGCAATTTTAGTTAATTGACGTAATTATTTAACAAATTGAAATATTTCTGCTGTAATTGTTTATTTGTTTACCTAGGTATATTAACATTTTTAGATTACTTTTCTTAAGAACAAATAATTTCATTCGTTTTCAACAGTATCTTTAGGTACAGCATAAAGTTCAGAATGTGTATATTCAACCCATTTAACATATTGAGTACTAGCATTGCTTATTTTAAATTTTATATAACAGTATACAAAATACATTAATGGTAAAAAATACTTTATTTTCTCATAAGAAATCATTTGCTTATTTGACTTTTCAACTCGAGCAGCCATACCAAACATCTAGGTCACGTAACTTTTACTTTATCGGCCGAAAGTTCTCACATCCATCCGAATATCTCGATAACTGATTCGAGTGAATCGAATAAATTAATTCGATGTGATTAATCGGAGATGGGCGCTATCGGGCGGCAGTGGATCTGTAGAGTGATCCTAATTGACACCGGGAGATAGAGTTTATTAAATAATGGCGTTTTTATTCGGAGGGACAAGGTTCTTGTTTGACCTCATTTTATAGTTTTAGATGTTACCAAAGAATGTCAGTGAAGACCATTGCCGATAAAATATTCTAATGTAAATGCTTTTGTTAATGAGGGTTTGATTATTATATTTTTGTCCTTCAAGATGTACTATCGGCAACAGTGTTAACTACCCATTGCCGGTCGTGTCGTCTGTTCTATCGCAAAAAATCACCATTTGATGAGAGCGAGAGCAAAAACGGAAATGGATAGTTAACAGTGTGGCCGTGTGTACCTAACTGCTAGGTACCTAAATGTATGAAGGAACAGCTAGTATAGGTAAGTACTTTGGAAAGTACTAGATTTGTCACTCTACATTTGCTAATAAATTGAATACAAGAAGTAATTTAGTTTTTATATCTGATTTTTCAGATGATTAACCTAATTTGCAGTAAAAACGTTTTTAATAATTCGATTATGTCATTATTTGACTTGGTATAGACACACTCGTATTAGCTAGATAATTAGGCAAACTCTGCCGGCCTGACGGATCAAACTAAATACTGTGGCATTTTATGTATTAGTAATTGATTCTATTTTGTAACATGATCATGAAGTCTGATATGCTGTAATGACCATGTATATCCTGTAGTAGGTACGTACCTCCAAATACAACGAATGCCCACCACTGCACATAAACGTGCACTCGATTATATGTCTAGTTGTCTCACGAATACAGGCTATTGTTGTCCGTCGCCCATTATGTTATACTTTAGAAGGTTGCCAATTGTATGCACTGTCATTATTTCATTTTATTAACGCTTATTATATCTTGTGGTATTGAGAGGCTGACCAACATCATTGGGGCTCGTTGCATTATTTATTTACGTTATTAAGCGTCTTAATGACGCGGTTGTGGGTCATCAAACCTGGCAAAAAGTCGAGGCATGATTTAGGATGACTCACGTTTAATAAAATGATAATCATTATAAATCAAGCATTATCTGCCTGAAGAGATCGTTCCCCAGACGAATTCATACAGCATCGCGGTTTTTATACTATGCGATGTTTAAACGATTCTGTGTAATAGAATTGAGTCATCGCCAATATAGTTTTTTGTGAGGTAGTGATTTATTTAATAATTGCATTTATTTAAGCTTAGAGTTTTATTGACCTCCGAATAGAATTATGGTGCTAATAAAGTTTATTTTGTCACTGATCGCCAACTTATTGGCATTGAATGTGTTTATAATATTCGTGTAATTATCATCGTCGTGTGAGATTTATAACGTCAACTCTATTTAAAGACATCTATTATAAGTTTCAAATTGAAAACAGCTCATTCAGCTTACACAATGTTGATCCCTTATTGATCAAAATTGCTACAGTCGCACCGTGTAAACGCACCTCGTTCCTATGTCTGCCATTCTGGATTGAAAACGGCGGGTTGATGAATGTTACGGTGACCGCTCCGTATACGGCCGTGTTATTGTTTATTTATAAACTTTGCCCGCTGCACGCGCTTTTTCCTGGCCAGTGACAAATTTATATTTGTCGATGTGAGGAGTCGCGATAGGATCGATACGTCACGATTTATGGAACGCTCTAGTGATCGATTTTGATGATTCCGAGTTATGTTCGGCTGGCTATGTTCGGTTAACTGTTATAGCCGGATTATGCCACAGAGCTCTGTTTGCTTCTAAAATGGTAAATAATAATTTATTGGGGTCTTTTGGTAAGTGGGACGGTGATTGGATTATTTGAGGTCATTCCCTTAAATGAATCTGAACAAAGACTTGAAGCATATCTTAATCTACAATCTTAGTGGAAATTAGAATAATGTAAGTTCAAAGTTCTTAAGTTTTCTTTATAGTAATCAAGATTCAAGAATGCTGAAGACTGGTAGTTTTCGAAGCCTGTACACAAGCTACATTCAGAGTACTGAAAGTGTAATAAAATTATAGAGTATTATAATAAACGTTTATTGCCGTAATAGCTACATTTCTTAACTAACCCTCGTAAGGAGGTAGATGAATAAAGCAACAAAAAGCGTATACTTCCATATTTTCCGATTTCAATACATTACTAAACATTATGAATCTTTTAATCACAAGGCTCTCGATCTTTCCTAAACCAAATCAGAAGCTTAATCGTAACTTAAATTTTCCATCAATAAAGTTCAAATTCGCTTCTCCCCCCGATAATCTACTTAAAT